AAAGTAAATTTGTAAGTAAATTCCTGTTTGTGAATGCCACATCACAACTAAACTAATTTTTTCATTATTTGTACTATTTGATTTGTACATATTTCTCTGAACAGGAAATAGCAATGTCAGCTTCTTAATTAAAGTTCCCAGAGGAGCAGGCTTGATTCTGCATTTATTTTAGGTCTCGTTGATTTATTTTTGGCCTTTTTTAAGTCGAGATTTAATATTTTCATTAGTTTAGGTTTAAGCCTAGATTGATATTTTGGTTGGGTTGATAACTTGGGGCGAAACTACAGCTTATTAGCTCCTGTTTCCGGTGAGGAGAAGGATCGCTCCGAAGGGGAAGGACATGCCAAATCAGTTTTGTTATTGTTTATATAAGTGTAACGTTTCCTTTTTATAATCAGTTTAGCAAATTGATGATTACGATCCACAATGGCAAAAGCTGTTGACCTCAACCACGTACAATTCGGCAAGATACAGCTTATGGACTTCCCTGGTAGTTCCACCTCACTGGCTTGCCCAATTCTAGCTGCCAAGCTTCCCATTCGGGTTGCATTATCATCACACACCCTGGTCTAGGCACATCTAAGCTCAAGTCAAAACATTCTATATTAAAACTATATAGTAAGATTTGATAATTTGACAAATTATTTTAGTGTGAGGACATATTTATGAAGAGAATAGACCCATGGTTTTGACAGAATACATTGTTTCTTATCAATTTAATCAGTTTTTTATGTTATAGTTGTAGCTTTGAAGGTTGTTCCCCTTTAACACATATTTCAGAATTTTGCACATGAATTTATGCCTTATAAGCATTCCTTCTCTATTCTTCTATTGTGATTTGTTCTTATTTTAAGATTCTCATTTAAATGAACAGAATGTTTTGTATACTGTATTAAACGGTTGGGTAGGCTATATTTGATGTAGTTCTCATACTAAAGGTAAAAGGATCTCAGGTTTCTTTTCATGTAATCAATCATGGAGAGAAGTAAGGCTTTTTGGATGCTTCAAAAGTTTTGCAAAACAATGTGTATATATACTACATCAGTGTCAATCCCTTTTTGCAGGCCTATGAACAGTATGGAGAAGAGTTCAAAGTCATTTTGTGCCGTAGAATGCCAACAGAACCGAGAAATTATTGTGAGGGAACGGCCCCTGGATAAGTTCACAAAAACTTTCACTTTCGATAGAGTTTTTGGACCAGAATCAAAACAGGTGAGTTTTTAGTTTGTGTGTTTGATCCCCCCTCCACTTTTTTTTTTTTTTTTTTCACCCTTTAAATTGAGAAGATATGCCTGTTTTCTTAGATTCTATGTGAATGTGATGTTTAGATATCTCTTTGGTATTGTTTATAGTTTTCTTCAAACAAGTAAATGTTTTAGTTTAAAAGTTTTGGCTTTATTTCAGATTGATGTCTACAAAGCAGTGGCAAAGAATTCAGTGGAAGAAGTGCTAAGTGGATTCAACTGCACAATCTTTGCTTATGGACAAACCGGCACGGGAAAGACCTTTACCATGGAGGGAGAGCACACCAATGAAATCATGTCTTGGGATGAGGTAATACTCTGAGGTTCTTTTCTCTCAGTTTAAAAGCAAAAATGAGCCTTCCAATGTTAATCTTGTGGAATATAGTCTAGCATCTTTTATGGCTCATGAGCTCTTCAAATTGATTCTACTTTTGTCTTTAACTATAGTGGGTAATGTTTAGGTAAGATTTTACACCTCATGTTGAGCTCTGAATACCTTTTCACATTACTTTTTATATCTAGAAATTGATGTTACATCCAGTACATGTCAAGATAACTAAAATGGTATTAGAGAATAATGGTTAGCTGCTACAAAGCATAGAATATGACCTAATAGTGATTCATACAGTTTACTCACTATAAGGTATTGATAATGATAGAAATATTCAAAAAAGGTTTGTATGAGGGTAGTAGGGAATATTTGATCAGGAGTGATGCAATTTTTTTTCACTTAAGAATATGTATATGGTTTTGATTGCTGTCAAATCTGTTTCAGGATCCATTGTTAGGTATTATTCCTCGCTGTGTGAATCACCTTTTTGATGAGCTGCGCATTCAGAAGGTGGAGTTCACAATGAGGGTTTCATTCCTCGAATTGTACAACGAGGAACTGTTTGACTTGCTGTCGGCTCATGATGATATGTCAAAACTGAGGTACGTAGTTTCACTCTCCCTTTCCTAGCATTAAGTCTAAGGAATTGTATTTTTATCATAACCTTGGTAACCTAGGAATATGATATCAACATTGTAGGGTAGAAACTTTGAAATACTAAGCAATACTTTCCTCATATGGAGGTGAATCAACCTATAATCAAGTACCAGGTATCTTTTCCACAGTTTCTTCTTTCTTTCTAAACCTTATTTTTATGTTCTTCAAGGCTTGCCAGATATTAATTCTTATTCCCATAGAAATAAGTTTTTTAACGTGTGATTTAGATGATTTTGATTATGAAGCCCAAAATACTAATTAGATATAG